TCCTGCCCTGTACCATAAAGTGAAGGCTCTCAACCAAGTGCGGGTAAGGCCCTTTCCATGCCTTCCTGAGTGGAGTTTGGGTGAGGTGGATGGCAGCAGCCTGTAATCTCTATTTCAGGGAAGTCGGAGAAAAGCAGATATTTAAATTTTGGAGGCTTAAAATCTCATCAGTGTGTCTTTCTATTCACTTTTTCTGATTTCTTCAGAGGCATAGGAATGTCAAATTAATAGGAAAATCGAGTAGGAATTTCTGGCTGGTATCCAGCTGGGCTTTGGTTTATCTCCTGGAGCACATGACGATGGTTGTGCTCACCTTGCCCTGTGTGATGTAAGCACTTTGGAAACAGAAGAGCAGCAGCTGAGGAAAAGCAGTTATTTCAGCAGCACAAGGAGTGGGGCGGATCTGCTTGGCCAAGGACCATGCTCTGTTTGCTGATTCTTTGTCTCCTTCCTCTCCAGCTGCTGCGAATCCAGCTTTTCCACATGAAGAACATGTTCAAGACGTGCCGGCTAGCTAAAGAGTGAGTCCTGGGCTGTTTTGCTGTCCTGGTTCTGTCCCTAGGCAATTTGCACTGGGAATCTGTGCAGCTTGTGCATTGAGCTCTGGGGAGAGAGGGGGCTGGAGCAGGAGAGAAAGCATAAGGAGTGAAGGGAGGGGTCTTACTGGAGTCACTTTGCTCTGAGCTCTGGTTTCTCTGTCCTTGCAGTCTCTTGGATTCCTTTGACACAGTGCCTGGCCACTTGACAGAGGATTTGCACCTCTACTCGCTGAGTGACTTCAGTGCCATCAAGAAAGGAGATCTGATGCCTCGCCTGACAGAGCTCCTGAGGGCAGGCAGCCTGCACATTGACAAGTGCATGGTAAGGCCTCCTCTCCTGCCTCCTGTGTGGCTCTGGACCCTTGGAAACAGCCTTGGGAGCAGGCTTTGCTGCAAAGATAACTGTTGGGGAAGCTTTGGTGTGCAGAGCAGCCACCAAATTAACTGATTCAATGCTAACTGTTCCTGCTTACTTCACAGAGCTCCCACCCAGCACAAATGGGATATTTGCTACCCCATTTTGGCTCTCCCCCACCCCTGACACAGTCAAGGGGCTTCCTGTGCTTCATGCTGGGAAAGAGGTGTCTCACATGGTTAGAGCAGGGCACTGTGGCCTGCTGTCCTGCTGTACTCTACCTTCTGTCCTACTTGGCACAGAGATGAGCATTTAGCTGCTTTTTCCTCATCTTTTCTTCCAGCTGTGCCAAGCCAAAGGCTTCATCTGTGAATTCTGCCAGAATGAGGATGACATCATCTTCCCCTTTGAGCTCAACAAGTGCAGGATGTGTGAAGGTGAGATACTGGGGAAAAAGGTGGGATACAGGGAGGGGGCAGACCCTGGGGCCACCAAGGTCTGCTTCCAGTTTGAGTGGCATTTGTGCTAGCAAGAGGTACAGAGCTGTAGACAGCCAGACCAGGTGCCCCTGTGCATGGCCTGTGTCTGCCATGTTACAACAGCAGCAGATCATCATTGTCACAGTGTTTGCTGGCATGGTAAAGCACGTAGGTCCCCTCCTGACCATGCTCTGTGCTGCCTGCCCTGGCAGCTGTGGGCAGTCAGTCACCACAGCAAGTGGGTGTCTGAAGGGCCTGGCTTCCCTCCTGCTGCAGTTACAGGACAGCCTGCAGCCTGCACACAGCTCCCCTGCCCTGCTTGGATGGCTGGAGCTGACCTTGCAGAGCAGAGAGAGCCTGAGGGCTTTATCTCTGAGCCCTTCCTGCTTGCTAAGAAATCCCTAGGCCCCTTCAGGGGACATCCTTGATAATGCCCAGTATTAATGAGTGAGTAGAGCTTGGCCCTACGTCTTGGGACCAGCCTCTGAACTGGCATAAAATGGCTCCTGACAACATGCAAGCTTTAGTTTGGCAGCTGCAGTGCCAGAGAAAACTTGGGGCAAAGTCACTGTTTCCTTGGAGTATCAGGAAAGCTTGGGGAGAGACCTTGTGCAGAGCAGAAATCCTCCCTGCTGTGCTTCCAGAGCTTCATGAGCCAGTGCAGGGACCTGGGCTGTGGAGTGTCAGGCAGTCTGTCAGCCTGTACCAGCACTCAGCCATGCTCTCCCTTACAGAGTGCAAAGCCTGCTACCACAAATCCTGCTTCAAATCCACCCACTGTCCCCGGTGCGAGCGTCTTCAAGCCCGGAGAGAGCTGCTGGACAAGCAGAGCACAGAATCCTACATCTCGGACTGTGAGGATGAGCCAGAGCAGCCGGAGGCAGTGGCAGCCACATGAGCATGTTGCAGCCAAGGAGCAGATCATGGGTTTATTTATGTGCATGGCCTTCATCACCAGAGACTGAGCCACGTGGACTGGGGATGAGGACTGTTGGGAGGCCTGGAGCACTGTCTTGAAGGGATTTCTTTTCCCACATGCAATACTGCTGGGCTGGGAACGGAGCATATTCCACCATGTGGATCTGTTCCAGGTACCATTCCCATCCCTGATGCATTTGCTTGAGGGGAGGCAGCTACTCCTGCCTGTCCTGCAGCAGAACAGGGACCTTTCCTGAGCAGTGTTCATGCTGGACCTGGCAGAACTGTGCTGTCCATCCCTGTGCCCTGCTCCAAGCTGAGCAGGGTCTCCTGAAGGGTCAGCACTTCCTGCTCATCAGCTGTATACTAGGAAGCTCTGGTCACATCTGCTCCTTGGAGGAGGAAGTCAGTCCTCCAATCCTCCATTCTGCTGCTGGGGGTTGTGTGCATGGAGGGAGGGTGGGGTTTGGGGTTGGTTGTATATTTTAACAGCTCCCTTTCTCAAATGTGCTGTGGGACTTTGCTGGAGAGCAGTTGCTCTCACTCCAGAATCAGAGCAGAGGACGTTGCAATGATGAAAATGCCAGATTTCCCTGTGCTGCAGAGGGACATTGCCCCTGGAGCAGCTGCACAAGTGGACGTGCTGATGGACTTTTGGCAGGCAGATCCCCTGGCTCCATAGAAATCTGCCTCCATGGGATATGATGAGACTTCTGACCCTATTTCCTCCTCATGCTGCCAGTCTGTCCTACCAGGGAGATATGTCCTCCTTTTAAGGATGACCTCACTCTGGTAGCACCAGAACCTGCCTTGTGTGGAGCTGCCTCTCTGCCAGAGACCTGTCAGGATGCAGGTGAAGGCTCATCCCTCCAGCTGCATCCCCAAGCCTCTGTTGTTTTAGTTTTTGTCATTTTTTTTAATCTGCTGGACTTGGTTTTATTTTTTAATATGGTTGTTTGTATTTTTAACTGTGTGTTCCCCTCAAGGAGGTGCTGCTGCTTGAAATGCCTTCTTAGGGGGCATGTCATCTGCTTGGGGACTCACCAGTATAAAATCTCCAGGGCTATCCTGCTCCTGGTTCCTCACCCCTGGATGGAGCTGGTCCCCTCTTCCAGCAGGATCTCTTGCTTCCCTTGGGGAAGGAAGGGTCCTGAGCCAGGCAAAGCTTTGAAGCTTCCCAGCTGTGCTCTAATGGGATGGTCAGGCAGCCTGCTTGCAATGGGGACACCTTGGGGGAGAGGTTTGGCACTGGGGTGCTGCCAAGGACTGGTTCCTCACACATGCAGAGCCACCTGCCACAAGTGACAGCTCTGCAGGGTCAGGGTCAGACCCAGTGGGACAAGGTCAGCTCTGTGCCCAGCTGAGGAGGTGCCTCTGCATTGAGGGGGGATGTTTTAGCCATGGCATGTCCAGCACCACCCCAGCACAGGTGGGGTGTGGGGTGTTAGGAAGGATGGTGTGGCCTGTGTATGTGCAAGGAGGGTGCTGAGGAACCAGAGAGCAAGGCACTGGCAGGAGGCCTCAAGGGGCAATGGCTCTTTCAGCACATGCTGTGATTTGAGGTGATGTGACCCCTCATGGGCTCTCCCTGTGGGGGTAGCAAGGCTGGGGAGAGGGGAAGAGGCTGGGTCCAGATGTGGCTGCAAGCCTTGCTGCTGAGGGCTGGGCTGCTGGATCTCTCCCTGCCTGCAGCAGCTGAACAAATCCTGAAAGCTCCCCACTTGCTCCCCTGGGGTTTTTACTGCCTTGTGTCTTGCTTCTGCTTTTTTCCCCAGCAGAGCAGCTGCTCCTCTGCTCACTCTGTCTCTGCAAGCCTTGGGGCTGCCACATGCTGGTCTGCCTTGATCTTGCCTGTCCCCAAGCCCAAGCCAAGCGCTCTTGCTGCTGCTTGGATCTGGGACCCCCTTCCCTGGAGTTGCCTCAGCAGCACACCTCCATCCACCCTATTTTGTTTGAAGCACTTTAATGTCATGGGACAGCAACTGAGAGGCTGCCCAGATCATTTTCTAGAAGCACTGAATACTTTTTGAGAAGAGGGAAGGAATTCTGGCTTAGTTATGGTTTCCACCCTCTGTCACGGACTGTGTGGAAGCAGCAGGATTCCCAAACCTGGCACAGGTCTCCAGGGCAAGACTGTGCCCAGCACTGACACTGGTGCCCAGCACTGACCACTACAACTAACACTGGAACTGGCCACAATAGGGGGCTCTGGGAGGGAGAGCTGGGGGCTACCCTGGCCATCAGCTGGAGCCCTCACAATTATTATTGCACAGCACAGCAATTAAAACACCGTCCTTAATAAACTACATGAATAAGGAGTCTGGTTGTGTTGTGACATTGTTTCAGGTGGGGTAATGGTGTGTATCCCACCTCGAGGTCATGGGGCAGGCAGGGAGTGCTGCTGATGGCAAGGACAATGGAAGGGGCAGCTCATGTGATGCAGACACTGGGAGGGGGCATTATCACTATCTCTTGACTAATTAATCTGGTTTGTGGCCTGCCCCTGCAAACTGCCCACTGGACTTGGACACTGAGTGAGGGGCTCTCTGTAATGTCTGTCCCCTTCCAGAGGCTCCCTTTGTTGCTGGCAGAGGAGCCCAGGGGCCTGGCCTTGGCTGCCCTGTCCATGCTTGTATCCCCGTTCCACACCACCCACCTCTCCCTTCACAGCAGTGATGTGCATCTCCCCATAAACACCATCAACACAGGTAATAGAAACTGTTAACTTTAAAACAACTGTAGAAAAATGACAGCCCAGCACTGGCTCCACAAAGAGCCTCTTCTGGGGGCTTTTCCCTAGAAACACCCTGCTCAGCCCAAATCTCAGCTGTGGTTACCAGCAGCAATGGTGACCTGGGCTACTCCCAAGGCCTGGGTTGTAGAATGGTTTCTGGCAGGCACAGGCATGCTGAGGATGGGCTCTCACAGCTGCCAGCAAATTTGTAGCAGCAGAAGGGCTCCAGCAGCTGCCCCAGTGTGGCAACTCAAGAACTGGGTGATGGCAAAGACCCGCAAAACCCTGCTGCTGCTACAGAGAGCCCTTCAATAGCCCAGGGTGATCCCTGCAAGCTTGGCAAAGGCACATCTGCCCAGCACAGAGGGTCACTGGGAGTGTGTGGGGGCATAGCGACGCTCGAACTGGTCCACGTCGAACTTGCGCTTGCAGCCGGCGTAGTTCATGTAGCGAATCTTCCCGAAGATGGGCCGCTCCGCCCAGCCCTGGTCATGAATGCCACAGATGGACCACAGGCAGCCTGCCGGGCACACGGACACAGTGTCAGCTCTCCCCCTTGCTCCCAGGCACCCGGAGAGCGAGTGGGATCTGAGTGCAAAGCAGAATGGGCTGCAGTTGCCTGCAGAGAGCCCCCACTGCAGCCTTGACCGTCACAGCTAAGGCCTCCCACCCCGTGCCCCCATCCTGCAGCTTGCCTACGTATCCATTGGGGTCCCGCCCATCCAGCTCGTAGCGGTCGTTGAGGTAGATGGCAAACTGCAGGGCCTCCTCAGGGGAGCGTGTCCACTCCAGGATCTTCTTGGCCCAGTACATCCGCAGGAAGCCGTGCATCTTGCCCTCCTGGACCATCTGCAGCTGCAGGGATGGAGACAGCCATAAGGGCCAGTCCATGGCAGGTCACCTCTGCGCCTCAGAAAAAAGCTCAGCATTTTGTGGGGAAGATTTTGTAGGGAGGTACCTGGGCAGCATTCCAGAGTGGGTCATGTGTGGTCCCCTGCTCCAGCTCCTGCAGACTGTACAGATAAGGCCTCTTGTCTTTGGCGTGGAGCTTCAGGGTGGTTTGCGCCCAGTCATAGGCACCTGTGAGCAAGAGATGAGAAGCAACCTGGTCTGCAGGGTCCTGAGAACCAGGCTACTGAGGGCACTGTGCCCTGGAGGCGCCAGGCTTGAAGAGGGCACTCATCAGCTTCTGTCCTACCTCCAGAAGAGACCAAATGATGGGACATTAGTGCCCCCACAGCCCTTCTCCTAGCAGAACTGGGACTGCCAAGTTGGAGTGCCCAGCTGGGTACCCAGCATGGCCCAGGTGACCCAAGATGTTACCCTGCACGCTGTCGTAGTTCTCATTATAGTAGCAGAAGTTTTCAGCCAGCTCTCGCCGCACCACAGCTTCCTCCACAAATGCATCCACTGAGTCCTTGTAATTGCGCCGGTGCTTCTGCACCTCCAGGATGGCTCTCTGGGTGGAAACCTGGCCTGGGGACAAGGGGAAGCTGCAAGTCAGACTGCTGGTCCAAGCCACAATGCTCAGTCCTGCTGCAGAGTGGGAAACCTGGGACACTCACCGAAGTGAAGCCATGGGGACAGGTTGCTGAGAGCCGCCTTGTTGGGATCATTCCTGTGGGTGCTGAAGGATTTCAGCCGCTCTGCAATGAAGGACTTCAGCACAGCCATCCCTGCAGCTGTGCCAGGGGTTGCCCACTCCACCTCCTTCACGGTGTGGTCTACCTGCAAGCTGGAATAACATGCCTCCCAAGCAATGGGCTGGGTGGCAACCAAGCAGTGAGTGCATCTGCAGAATCTTTTCAGCAAGGGCTGCCCTGAATGTTTTGCCCTCAGTCCAGCAAAGGCTCCAGTCTGTGCCAGACTCTTCCTTTTAACTAGCCCTCTGCATGGCAGAGATGTGGGAACTGAATTAATGAGGTAGGAAACTCCCTTTCCCGAGGGCATCCTTATCTCCACACCATCTGTGTGTGACTTCAGGCAGGTCACTGTCCTCATCCCCTGCCAACCCCTCCCACGATCACAAAGGATTTATGAAACACTCTTGAGACCTGCCCATGAATGGGTTTGAGTGTCTCCCGCTGATACCTCTGCTGGGCAGGAGGGCAGATGTGGGTGAGGAACAACAGGGGGAAATTCGGTGAGGAACTCTGGTAGCTGAGCATGGATCTTGCCCCGGATGGTCCTGGCGCTGTACTCCTGCTTGGGGGAGGCAACCCAGCAGGGCACGATGTTGTGGGCATCAACCTGGGAAGCAAAGCCGTGGAGAAGGGTGTGAGAAGCAAACAATCCTGAGAACACGACACATGCTCTCTGCTCAAGTCACTCTGGTGCACAAGACAGAGGAGATAAGTTTGTCCCATATCTCACCAACCAGTTTTCCATTCCCAGAGCGCTGGCACCCACCTGTGCAAATGGCACATCCTCTGGCAAGCGTTCCTTGACATCCTCTACCCACTGCCGGGGGAGGCGGAGGGGACTGAAGTCTGTCACCAGCCCACCCACACCATGCTCCACCACAAACGTAGGCAGCACATCTTTGGCATAGCCCAGCAGCAAGTGGAAGGGGATGTTCAGCTCTGCACACTCCTGCAGTGACAAAGAAATGGCTGTGGGACAGTTCATGGTTCTGCAACCCCACCCAACCATCATCTGCTGAAGGGATGGATCTGACTCCCCCCCTTTCCCCAGGAGCCCTGTCCCACCCAGCAGGGACATCCTCTGGCTGTACCTCTGCTACCTCCTGCAGGCCCCTCAGCATGAACCTGTAATGGCGGATGGTGGCCTCCAGAAATTTGGGCACCAAGCAGAAGCAGACGTGCAGGGGCAGCTCCTGTTTGAGGGCCAGTCGCTGGGCGTAGAGGAAAGCCCAGTTATCTGGGGGGAAAGTACACGGGGCAGCATCAGGAGGGTGCTTCACTGACAGGATGGGGATGGGGTTTCACAGCAAGTTTCCCCCCAGTACAGAATGAGGCCAGCACCAAAGTTATCGAAGGAAGGGACCAGTGCTTTTACCACCCATGGGAGCCCCTTCCACCAGCTGGTTCGCACCTTGCACTCGCTGATCCCGGCACATCCAGTAAAGGATGCACCGAGCATCATCCTTCAGGTCCGAGCCCTGCGAGACAAGGCGCACCCGCTTTTTGTTGTACTTGAACTCTCGAACGGACGGGGCCGCCCTCCGACGGGCCTCCTGTATGGCTTCCTGCCCCTCCGTCCTCCTCCGAGCCACGCACGGCACCTCCGTCACCTCGGCCTTTCGCTTCCCTCGTCCCCGCCGCATCCCCAGCACCGCCCGCAGCAGCGTGGTTGCTGCCAGGGGAAAACAGGCCGGACTGAGCTCCCGCGCTTCCCTCCCGGCGGATCCCGGCCCCGGCCCGCCCCCAGAGCCCGGGGGATGCTGCTCCCCTGCCCATCCTGCTCCTCGGGAACCGGGAAATAACGAGGTCCCGGTCCCCCACCCGATCCGCTCCTGATCTCGCTCCCCAGGCCCCGGTCCCGGTGCCTACCGGCAGCCACGCAGAGCCGAGTGTTACACAAGCCGTGGGCGTGTGCGAAGGGCGTGCCGCGGGCCGGCCGTGTCCCGAGGGGCGCGGCTCACGGCCGGCCCGCCCCCCGCACACGGGCGCAGGTGCCGCGGCGATGTCCCCGGCGCGCCCCGGGCGCCGCACCTGCCCCGGGAGCGGTGTCAGTGCCCGCTGGTGCCTCCCCTCCGTCCGCACGGGAACAAGGAAGCAGCTCCAGCTACCTGCAGCCATCACTCGGCAGCGTAGTTCCCTGCTGGCACCTTCCCCACGCCCTGCGTCCTCAGGTCCCTTACCTTGCAAGGCATTGGGGTGCTGGTTTTGGACATGACTCGGAGCACGGGAGGGCTGCCCCTGCTCCTGCTGGGCCTTGCTGTGCTGGATCTCTCACTGGGTAAGGGCTGAGTGCTATGTGGACATATCCCTGGGGTGGGAGGGTGGATGAGTGACGAGCATCGTTCTCCAGGGTGGTGGGTGGCCCTGGGGTAACTTTGCCCACAGAAGTGAAACATTTCAGGTGCTGTTTGCTCTCCAACATCCCTGCCCTATGATCAAACAGGGCAGTGCTTTATAGAACACAAGAAGTAAGCTCTATTTCTATTGCCTCTGATGGGAGTCTCCATGTGGGGAGAGAAGACCTTAGGCTCAACTGGACCCCCTTGCTGAGCCTTGGTCCTTGCTGGGCTCATTGCCTTTGCTACAACCTGCCCAGTAGTACCAAATGGCCCTGACCAGATGGCAACCTCACTGGGATATACTAGGCCTGGAGAACTTCAAATGCTATCCCAACATTTGCACTTGATGCAAAGAGCAGTCTTGAGTGGAGCACTGGGAATAAACCTGCAACTTGTACCCCCTGAGAACCTTGAACTACAGCTGTAGGTTCCCTTCTGCTGCACCACTCAACCCCCTCCCAGAGCTTTTGTGGGTT